GCAACAAACTTGCAACAAACTTGCAATCGTGATTGCAAGTTTGTTGCAAGTTTGCAACAAACTTGCAACAAACTTGCACGGTCACCTCTGCAAAATAGACAAAAATCTTTAATTTTTGTAAAAAAATAAGGAAATTTTTTAAAAAAAAGTTTAAAAAAATGTGCCAAATCACTCTAGAATACTAGGCGCTAGGCACCCCAAATCCAATCCGAAGTACTAAAAAGCTGCACCCCCGACCCCTATACCCCTAAAACCTAAGCCCCTGAAATCCCAAACCCCTTAACCCCTACATCGTAAAATCCTAAACCCTCGGACCCTGTACCGTAGAAGCTTGAACCTATTAACCCAATCCCAGCCAAGCTGAAACCCCGAAACCTTAACCCCCCAATCCCCCCAACCCTTGATCCACCAAGCCCCGAACCCCCTGCACACCCAATCCTAAAACCCTGAAACCACCCGAAACCCTAAACCCCTAACCCTAATCCGCCACACCCCCCAAACCCTAATCCCCAAACCCCAAACATCCTACACCCCAAACTGAACCCTAAACGCCTAAACCCTAAACCGCTAAACCCTGAACCCTTAACCCTAAACTCCTACACCCTTCAAGGGTGGTGAGTGGTGGTGGTGGGTGGGGTGGTGGGGTGGTGGGGTGGTGGGTGGTGGGGTGGTGGTGGTGGGGTGGTGGTGGTGGTGGGGTGGTGGTGGTGGTGGTGGTGGTGGGTGGGGTGGGTGGGGTGGTGTGGGCTGGGACGGGGGGCCATCATGCGCATCAGTGGTGTTGGTGGGTGGGCAAGGGCAAAATGCACCTTTCATGAAACGGTGCGTTTTGTTTTTTGTGGTGTCTCTTCGCCCTCTGGAAAAAGGAGGGAACCCTTTTCCGCCGCACCCCCCCACCGCCCCCACCACCCCCACCACCCCCACCACCCCCCCACCACTCCACCCACCCCCACCACTCACCACCCAGGATTGAGTTTTGTCTGGTTGCAGGGGTTGTTTTGAAGGGTGTAGGAGTTTAGGGTTCAGGGTTTAGCGGTTTAGGGTTTAGGCGTTTAGGATTCAGGGGTTCAGAGTTTAAGGATTTGGGGTGTAGGGGCTTTGGGGTTTAGGAGTTTAGGGTGAAGCGGGCAAAACAACGGCAACAAATCGTACTTCTTAGCACGTGGGCACCGCTTCGAGGCCGAAACAACGGCAACAAATCGTACTTCTTAGCACTTGGGCACCGCTCTGAAGCCAAAACAACGGCAACAAATCGTACTTCTTAGGACTTGGGCACCGCTTCGAGGCCAAAACAAGGGCAACAACTCGTACTTCTTAGCACTCGGGCACCGCTTCGAGCCCAAAGCAACGGCAACAAATCGTACTTCTTAGCACTTGGGCACCGCTTCGAGGCCAAAAAACGGTAACAAATCGTACTTCTTAGCACTTGGGCACCGCTTCGAGGCCGAAACAACGGCAACAAATCGTACTTCTTAGCACTTGGGCACCGCTTTGAAGCCAAAACAACGGCAACAAATCGTACTTCGAGGCCGAAACAACGGCAACAAATCGTACTTCTTAGCACTTGGGCACCGCTCTGAAGCCAAAACAACGGCAACCAATCATACTTCTTAGGACTTGGGCACCGCTTCGAGGCCAGAACAACGGCAACAAATCGTACTTCTTAGCACTTGGGCACCGCTCCGAGGCCAAAACAATGGCAACATATCGTACTTCTTAGCATTTGGGTGTGGGGTTTGGGGATTAGGCTTTGGTGGGGTTGAGGTTTAAGGATTTGGGGTGTAGGGGGTATTGGGTTTCGGGATTAAGGTTTGGATGGTTTGGGGACGAGGATTTGATGTTTAGGGTTTGGTAGGCTTGGGTTTTTTGGGTTAGGGTTTCGGGGTTGGCGGGTGTTTGAGTTCTAAACCCGAAACTAAACCCGAAACCTTGTGTCGTGCTCGTCGTCATCGTCCTTTGTTGGTCGTCGTCGTCGTCCTCGTGCAGTCGCTGTGTCGTCGCTGTCGTGGTGGTCTTCGTCCTCGTGCTTGTGTTCGTGCTCGTCATCGTCGTCGCCCTCTTGTCGTGGAGTGTAAAGGAGAGAACATGGATTTGTGGCAAAGGTCATGCTGCCGTGGATTACATGCAAAGCAAATACCCTGGCCCGGACATGTCACCAATCCAAGCATCGAGGGTGCGGTTGCGACCTCTGACTAGGATAAGGACGAAGCATGGAAGCAGAGGTCTGGCGACTCGTGGGTTGCGCATGAATCAGCATGTCGCTAATTTTCGCTTCCGTTGCTGCCAGATTCATGGCACGAAAAACACGAGGTGATCCTAGCACGTGCTTAGAAGAAGGCGGATCGCACGGTTCTGACAAGCACCACGGACGGCGTTTACTTGGCCGGAATGATACTTTGCTGTTGAGAATGGCGATTCTGCGAAAGCGTTTAAAGCCGCATGTGGCATGTTTGGCTTTGATGTGCGTGGAGGTCCCAAACCATGGAGGGCGATGCTTGGAAAGCGTTTGAAGTGCATGTCGCATGTTAAGTTTTGCGGTTCGTGTAGGTCTCACAATACGAAGCTCTAGGAAAAGTTTTCGGAGGGTCATGTTGTCATTGTTAGACCAGAAGCATGAGTTCACTGTCTCTTTTGTGTGCAACATGATTGCTCTCTCTGTCTATCTGCTGGTGCAGCAAAATTGAGCTTGCCATCTGCAGGCGGAAGGCAAGAGGAGGGGCGTTGTGACTACATGTGGGTGGAAGGCAAGAAGAGGGGTGTTGTGACTCATGGGCCTGCGGTGCCCGCATTAAGGCGGTGTCAAATCCGTCGCCTGGGGTTGTGACCCGCACTGCAGGGCAAGGGCCAGGGAAGGGAGGCCACGATACGACCATGCTTACTGTGTATGCATCTTGGCTCTGGATGTTCATGCTTATTTCTGATCAATTTCATGACTTTTCAGCTGTTGAAAAATGTTAATTTCCATAGTTAGTTCTACAGAATTAACTATTTTTTAGTTAAAAATTTTATCTTAAAATTGACTCTAAAATTAACTATTAGTTAATCCACCATTTCTAACTAATAGTTAATTTTGGTACTCAAAATTAACTATTGACTATTAGTCAGGAATTTGCCTAACCCGATCTATTGGGAAGGCAGCGGCAGCGGTCGTAGAGCAGCAACCCCGAGAGCCACGCGTTCCCATTTCAGGTCCTTTGGATGCGTGCCCTAGTAATCCTTGTCCGGGTCCTAGTCCTAGTTCTTGTTCGAGTAAGAGACACGCCGAAGCGTGGAAAGATTATCCTGTGGTGATCGAGCTTTTCGCCGGCACTGCCCGCGTGACTGCGTGCTTGAAAGGCTTTGGAGTAGCGGGTGCTCTTGGAGTAGATGTGGACGTGTCCAAAGCGTGTGCCAAATGTTTAGAAGTGGATCTCACAAGCGCAGAGGGCCGCGCGCTTTGCTTCACGTGGCTAGGCTCCCCGAGGGTGATAGGTGTGTTCATGGCGCCGCCATGTGGCACGGCCTCACGAGCTAGAAAGGTTGATGGCGGGCCCCCGCCCCTCCGATCAGCGCAGTGCCCGGACGGCTTGTCCGGCCTGAGCCAGATGGACGAGTTCAAGGTGCAGCAAGCAAGCCTCACATATCAATTAGTTGCGGATGTCGTGCGTTACTGCGTTGCCAACGATAAGATCTTCGCTGTAGAAAACCCGCTTCACAGCTACTTGTGGCAGACCTCCTTCTGGAAGTCCGTGTCGAAGCTAGCGCAATACGTGTGCTTTGAGCATTGTGCGTATGGTGGCAGGCGTCAGAAGCAAACAGCTATAGCTCACAACTGCAGTGCGTTTGAAGAGCTGGCTCGGTTCTGTCCGGGGCCACAGTGTGCCGCGCAACACTTGCCGTGGGGCAGCGACGAAACACCCCCAAACGGATATGCTACGTCGCAGGAGACTGCGTACCCGCCTCGTTTGGCGGCCCGCATCGCACTCGCGTTCATCAAAAGCATGGTGCGGCGAGGTTGGGACAAGCCACGGATTGCACTGAGCATGGAAGAAGACAAAGTAGCTGCCGCTGCCGAAAGGGCAATTGCCGGCTTGCAAAGCAAAGCGTCAAAGTTCCCCGCCCCTGTAGGTGAACATACTTTGGCGCTCTGGGGTTTAGCTAATTGTTTATTGGTTTTAAGATTGCTAGTAAATAGATGTTAGTGGGTTAACAACAAGTTGTATCTTGTTACAACGAGTTATAATGGTCCTAAAAAAAAAATCATGTTACATAAGTTATATATTTAGAAATTTAAGTTATGCTAAGTCTGACAAAGCAATAAAAAAGTTAGCTGAGTTAGCTAAAAACTAGTTGTTGAAGATGATGGAAGTGCGAGCTTCGTTTAGAGTAGAGTTTTCTTAATTTGAAGTAGCTTATTCTCTAAAAAACAAGCCACCAAGTTTCGTTTCATAGTCGCAGAAAGCAGAAGCATCAAGGGCTTGAGACGACGAAAGTTGAGGAATGGGGAAGGGGATCGTCAATATGGCAGGGGTCTTTGTTCTATATTTGAGTGTAGGGAATACTTCCCCCTGACTCAAAGCGAGAAAAAGTTTAGGCAACAATGGTTAGCAAGCTGTACCGTAATTCCCATGCAGATGGAAGTTTGCGAGAGGAATATGAAGTGAAGGCTCTGCAAAAGGTTCTTTTAGTCGTTGTCGACCCAAAGTTTACCTTATGTTAGAAAATAGACAGCTTGCAGAGAGCTGCGGCTAGTTTTGAGAAGCTATAGCGGAAAGCTTGCAGAGAGCTGCGGCTGGTTTTGAGAAGCTATAGCAGCTGGAAAGCTTGCACAAAGCTGCGGATAGCTTTCAGAAGCTACCGAACTTACAGAAGCTTCAAGGAGCTGGCTGCCGAACTGCACCGAAAACTGCTGAAACCCGAAAGTGCGCAACCTTACCTCGCACCGAAGGACAAGAGTCTTCCAAAGTTTGACTTGCAAAATCAAGCTGTTGATGTGTCTCCGTTTTTCCAAGCACTGCACGTCATCGAGCTGCAGAGAGAGGTGCTGGAAGCAAGCATGTGACACAACCATCATTCCCAAAGCTGTAGGTTGCCGGCTGCAAAAGGTCTTCCAGCCGCACCAGCTGCAATCTGTCAGGAAGGCTTCTCCAAACAGTGGCATGAGTGCCAGGCCTTTCCCTCTCGAAGAGGAAGTTAAGCACCACAGCCAACTCCATGCCTGCAACACTGATGCAATGCTTCAAAGAACCACATGCCCAAGGAAAGCCTGCCGTGCTGCTTGTTGATGCATTCCTGTAAAAAAGGATGTCGCCGCTTTTACATAGCATGCCGCTTTCCAAGCGACATGTTGCAGAAGCTTCCATTCCGGGCAAGAACCAGTTGTTCGCCTTCAACAGGGACTCCAAAGGTTTGCCGAGGGCAGTCTTGGACACCAAGTGGCTGCTGCTCATAAAAAGCTCCTCGTCCTTCAACAGTTTGCCCACATGCTCCTGAGTCACACCAGTCATGACGGCCTTGTTGTAAGCTTCCAAACCAAACTGGAGGGTGCCATACTTTCTCGGAATTTTATGCTTTCGCTCCAAAGGCCAGCAAGAAGGCAGCTGCTGCCATCGCTGCAGACAATCCGGAAGATGGAGAGGCCAGTGATGTTTGGGCCTCATCATCTCTGAGAAACCTGCCAGGGCGGTGGCTTGCAGGGCCTGTTCGACCAAGTGCAAAAACCGAGGAGGCGAGGGATTCTGCAAACCTTGGATGCTGTGGGCATAGTCCAGCACATCTGCCCAAGCAATAAATGCTCGGCACGTCGCCTCTTGCAGGCCATTGCTCAGGAAGTTGCTCTGCAGGAAGAATTGCAAGGGTTTGCACAAAGTGAGCATCTCAGAGGCCCCAAGCTTGATTGATCCAGCTTTCCTGTACGATGCAACGGCTTTGCTTGTGAACAAAACATCCAGTTTGAAGCTCGCATGTGCATGTGGCAAGTTCCAGAACTCCAGCCACTGCCGCAACATTGCCCAATCCTTCGACAGCAGCCCATTCTCTGTCAAGTCTTCCAACACCAAAAAAGCCATTTCATTCAACACACCATGCGACACCAGGCAATGCATATAGTCATGGCAATACAACGTGCTGGGTCTGCAGATGTTCAGTTCCTGCAATGTCTTGCTGGAGAGCAAAGCATGTGCAGACCAAGTCATCCCCGCCGCCTTCTGTCTTTGTTCGAAGACAGCAGACGGCCCTGAGCTTGCTTCCCTGAGTCGTTCCCAGGAGGCCATGAGCTCGTTGTCCGATGCCACGATGCAATCTGATCTCTTCAAAAACTGGGTCCAAACATTGTTGTTGTTCTCACTGTCTTTGAGCTGAAATATATTGCTGCACAGAGGACATGGCTTACAACCAGTGTCTTGGCGGTTGCTAAATACAGCTTTGTGCGCTGCGCCATCTTGAAGCAACATGTGGAGACGAAAATGCAAACGAAGCTGTCCTGCAGGAGATGACAAAAGCACCCCTGTCTCTGGCACCCGTGTCCCGAACAGGCTTTCCAGGATTAAGCGCATCACCTGTGACATCCCTGCCTTGAGCTCGCCGACTTCTGCACTGCGTTTGATGCAGAGGCAATACCAGAAATCCTCACGGGAAAGGAGCGACTTGTATTGCAGAAATGAGATGTACACACACCAACTCTTCCTCGATGAAGAACTTAATTGATTGCCCGGATGTATTTCATCAGCATATATCACTGCATCCCATGGTGATTCGTAACTGGAAGGATGCCTTTCATGAAAATCCAGCAGCCACATCCCAAACGGCCCTGCTGCATGGAACACTCCGGCCAACAGCGAAAGGAAGTTGACGAAGAGCAACTTTTGCTGTCCTCCTTTCACCGTCTCGGCCTCTGCTGTTAGGAAAAGAGATCCATATTTTTGCATGCTCGAGTTGTGCAGCAGCTCTTCCGTCTCCTGCCAAATGTCTCGCCGAGAATGCTTGTCAGGCAGCCCATGTTCAGCTATGTTCTTGCATATGGCCGCTAAAGCAGTCTGCGAACAAAACGGAACGGATTGTCGCACATCCAGAATCTTACGTTTCTTCGTCGGCTCCTCCATGCAAAGTAGCTTTGCACATCTGATGGGCAAGGCCACTGTCGGATCTATGTGCACTTTACAGCATGAACCTTCCGTTGCAAGCGCTTGTGCCTATTCTCGGGATCTGTGTGTCCGGCTGCTCTGTACATTCTGAAGCTAAGAGAAGAAAACATTGTACTACTTTGCAATTTGGCGACTTGGAAGCCAGCACTCGGTGGCACATGATTGTGATGACAGAAGCTATAGAGTCATGTTGCTTGCAAACAAAAACCTTCTGCTGCCTGTAGCATCGATAGTCCTACAGCGACGGAGAAGCATACACATGCTTTTGCCCTTTATTCTGGACAATAGAGGCGGTTGCTTCAAACCAAGCAGATATGCTGCCGCTATGGAGCAAACAATGCCAAGAACATATGGCTTTTCATATAGCGGACATCCCTGGTGCCACCTTGCTTCCATGCCTCTAGCTGCTTGGTTCAAAGCCTCTACACAGGCTGGAACTTCCGAGTCTTCCCAGGCTTTTCGCAGCTTTGACAAGCTAAGGACTGGCAGCAAAGCACAAGTAACAAAAATCGTACTTCAAGAATTTTTCCTCTCCTTGCAGATGCCTCCGCCTTGCTTGGCTCGTCACAGTCACCTGATTACCCTGCTACGCACTTGCAGGAAAGATAGGACCATTGCAAGACTGTCCTCGTTAAACCCTCAACCCTAAACCCTAAACCCTTTCAACTGTTTCCTGCAAGTGGAGCAACCCCTGCAGATTCGCGACACCGGCATCCGCGCTTCTGAGCAGCGGATGGCTCGCACCCCTACACCCCTGCGGGCCGCACAGCTTCACTACTTGTAGTTGTGCAAAGAAGCCCTTTGCAACCATTCGCTCCTCGTCAATCGTAGCCCTCCGAAGCTTTCCTCCAAGCAGGTCGGGCATCCAAAGCGGCACCCTCTGCATCTCAGGCAGCCCATGCCTTCAAAGGCTCCACGATCAGGCCTTGCCAAGGCCTTCGCTGCCGGCCTCTTGAAAACCTTCTGCTTGGAAGATGGCTTGCCCTTGGCCTGAGGCTTTCCAGACTTGAGCGCCTTTGGATCCTCTGTCTTCGCCTTAGGTCCCTTCTTGTCTTTCCCGACCTTGTTCGTAGAAGCTGCCTTCTTCCCGTCCTCCCTGGCCTGCAGCAGGGCGAGGTTTTCAGCTTCGAACTCCTCCAAAGTCTTCTGCTTCTGTCCGGGCAAGGCTGGACTGGACTGCGGCGCTTTTGCTCCAGAAGGGGGGCTCTCGCTCTGCTCCCCGTTCTCCAAGGGCAAGCAACCCTTGCTCTGCTCGCCTGCAGCCTGCACAGGCTCCTGCTTGCTGCTGCTCGCTGCAGTCGGCTTCGTCAGGAACTGCACTGTCGGCTCGGTGTGGTTGACGATGTTGTTGGCAGCCGTCAAGAACTTCATGAGGCCTTGGACGAATTTGGCTTCGCCATCCGGTACCGGCGGTGGCTGCACAGCAACTGCAGGCTGTACGACTTTGGGCTGGGACTCCTGCCAAAAGAAAATCCAGACAGAGGCCTGACTTCAGGATGCTACCTTCATACCCACAGAACAACTGAAAAGGGCTTAGGGTCAGGAGTATAGGGCTTCATGCCTTGGAAGGCTGGTCTGCTGGCTACATCTGATATCTTCTTAAACCCACATGGTCCTGTAGCAACTTGCCATTGGATCTCACGAAGATGTGATGCTGCATCAAGGTGGCCAGCCCGTTCAGGTCCTTCTTGGCTGGAAGTCCATCTGGATAGGCAGCCTGAAGGTGGGAGGCTGGCAACCGCATAGGATCCACAGGGTACCGGGCAAGAGAAGAAGCTCCAGCTGGGATCGCTGTGTTGGATTGCTTGAGCTCTGTCATCAAATGCAGACTCAGATCGTAAGCCACACGAACTGCCGGCACCGGGTTGCCTCGGTGGTGAACATGGTACCAAACCAGGATGGCGGTACATCGCTTCTTCAAGGATTCTTTCATTCCTTTGATTCCGATCATTTTAAGCCGGAGTGCGATGTGGCGACAGCCTTCCCACATCCCACAGCTTCCCAAGGCGGCTGCATCCGTCTCCGTCAAGTAAAGCTCGAAGCTGGTGCAGGTTTGCGCCACTGCTGCGAGGTTCGTGGCCCCGTTGCTCTGATGAGCACCAGCAGCGAGAACATCCAAGGTTTCCTGCAATTTCTCCTTCATGGCATTCGGCACCCCAGCTTCCTCCAAAGCTTCGTAGCAGGCCACCATCTCGGACGGGCCTACTTGGCCAATGTTGTTCAGCTTGGATTGCAGCTGAGCAAAGAGTGTATCCTGCATCTGCTGTGTGGGCCGAGCTTGGAGGAGCTTCTCGCAGGCCTCCAGCTCAACCACAAAGTCTTTGGCTGTCCAAGACATGGCCTCTGCGGTCGGCACACCCCTCGGAGTCTAACTTCTGGGCCACGACTGCCAAGCATGGCACAGCAACTGTGTTCCGAAAGAAAAAAAGGTGCAAGGACTCACTGGGTAGCCTCTAGAGGCTAAGAAGAGAAGTATATAGGGAAGTTTCCTAGCCTGCAAAGGCTGGGGTGTTTAAAGCCTGTATAGGCCAAGAAGAGCATGAAGCAATGAGCCTCTCAAGGCTGTGCAACTATAGCCTTCAGAAGCTCATTGCATTAAATGCTGCACAACTATAGAAAGCTTGCAGAAGTTGTCTGCAAGCTTTCTATATACGGGCGAGCAATTTTTTTTCATAGAGACGGGCATCGCTGGATCCTACCTAGTCCATGTCGTCCAGCCAAGATCTTCCACCGCCGTCCCGGTCCTCGGCCTCGTCCATGCTGCCGTTGTCCGGCTGCTCCAATTGCCCGTGCTGCTGCTGTTGGCCTTCGTCCTGCTGCCGGTTCTGCTGCTCCTGGATTCGCCTGCACTCAAGCTGACGTACAGGGCATTGAGGCGAATGACCATAGCCTCCCCGGCAGGCACTGCAGCAGTACAAGTGAGTGCCCGTCACCAACAAATCGCAGTCCAGACGGCCGCAGATTCGTACAGCCGTGGGATCCACCTGGCCTCTGTCACATCTTGTGCTGTGCTCGGATCCTCTGCTCCTTCTACAGCCACCGCAGCAAAAGCGATGCGGCGGCTCGCACGTTCTGCCGCAGCCACTCGTAGCACACATCCGCCTCGGGGTCCGTGCACCAGTCTGCATGGCTGCAACCGAGATGAAATCTCTATCACGTCCTTCTATGCAGGCACCTCTCCGGCATGTTTTGTTGTGTCTGCTGGTACTGAAGACCCGAAGTCTTCAGAATCACACACGACATTTGAATTCATATTTTGAATTCCCGGAACAGGGCCTCGGTATTTGAATTCATATTTTGAATTCGCCGACAATCCTGTGTATTTGAATTCAGATTTTGAATTCCCGGAACAGTCCCTGGGTATCTGAATTCAGATTCTGAATTCCCGGACAGATGCTGCTTTAGAGGACATAGGCTGGTCCCCATGCGAAGATTAGCTTTGCCCCGTCTGAAAATGGCTGCGGCGGCCGTGCACCATTCTCTTGAAAAGTCCTTCCTTCAGTGACAAGCAGCCGCTATTGGCTCTCCAAGTGCACCCGACAGGGTTTCGGATTGGGGGTGAAGGTCACGGTTGAGGGATCCAAGGCTTGAAAGCTAGTGAGATTTTTGCAAAAGTACAGGGTCTTGGGTTGGGGTTCAGGCTACACATTCGGCCCATTTTGTTCCTCCTTTACTTAAAGGAAGCTAGATTTCTACTAGAAACCTAGTATTTCTTAATTAAAGGAGGACCAAAAACGGCCAAATGCCTGGGAAGCCTCAGCCTGCAAAGGCTCTATTTCGCAGCCTCTACAGGCTCCCCTGCAGCCAACACAGGCTCCTCATATGTATCTCTGCGGAAGCCTCCAAAGGCTGGTGTCCATGCAGCCTCCACAGGCTCCCTATGTAGAGGATCCCAAGCCTGCACAGGCTTCCTATGTAGCTGCTACAAAAAAGTTTCCATGCAGCCTGCAAGGGCTCCCTCCACTCAAACTCGGTCTCTTTTTCACTCGCCACTGCTTCAGCATGGTCCATCAAGACAGGTAGTAGCGATAGGCATCGTCTCCCCGCTCTCTCAGCATCCTCTTCAAGTCCCGCATGGGAGCCTGCAGCCCAGGGTGCTCGCTGATGCGGCGGAGGTCCCGCTTCAGAGAGTCCACCTGCCCAGTCTGGAACCTGTGGCAGATCACGGCCATCTTCGTCGCCCATCCAGACCGGTTCTGGTTGCCCTCGACCTGGGCTTGTCGCTGCATATATGTGGATCCCTCAACCCTGCAACCCTCCAAGAAATTAGCCCATCTGCCCATGCGAACGAGAATCTGGCTGCTTCCATCGTTGCCACCCATATCGCCACCATATGTGCGGGTTGTCGTCGTCCTGGATCCAACCAGCTGCCGTCCATTTGTCCTCCCAGGACTGCTGGTAGTCTGCAGGTTGCTCAGGAACAGAAGACCATCCTTCGTCGGGCGGCTGATCAGGCCGTCCATGCTGTCCCGAGCCCGAGGCCTCCTCATTCACCAAACCAGGAGATGCAGAACCTGAAGGAAGCTGACTTCCGCCGACAGCTGTGCCAGGTAGAAGTACCTGCTGTTGGGGCGGCGGCTGCTGCAGCTGAGGCTCCACAGGAAGCTTCTGAGCTTGGTCCTGATGCATGTGGTGCATGTGTTGCTGCTGCTGCTGCTGCCACTGCGTCTGCTCCACAGGAAGCCTCTGAGGTTGCTCCTGCTGCCACTGCGTCTGCTCCACAGGAAGCCTCTGAGCTGGCTCCTGCTGCCAGTGCATCTGCTCTACAGGAAGCCTCTGAGCTTGCTCCTGTGGCATTTGCTGCTGCTGCCACTGCATCTGCTCCGCAGGGAGCCTGTCGGCTTGCTCCTGCTGCATTGGCTGCTGCTGCCACTGCTGATGCAGAGGTCCCGTGGGCAGCTTCTTGGCCCTGCCTGCTGCTGTCCCTGGCGCTTGCAGTGTTGCAGCTGCAGCAGCTGCACTAGCAGGCTCCCCAGTCGGTGGAGCCACGGCATTGGCAACCGCATGCACCAGGCTTTGTCTCACCTGCCGAATCAGGCATGGGGAGGATGCTGTACAAAGCCTAGGAAGCAACAGCCTGTAAGGGCTCCGAAAAAACCGACCACGGCCTGCTCGGAGGAGTACTTCATTCGCTTCCATGGCGCCTGCATGCATCCATCATACTCTATGCGAAAAGCAAACCAGCAAATTTATTGCCAGCTTCGAAAGTCATGCTTGTAGTGTCGCAGCATGACGAAACCACCCGGGCCTCGTTGGGGTCTTCATCCACCGCCCAGTCCCGCCAGTCCCGTCCCGCCATGCTTGAGAGGGTGCACCTGCAAGAATATGGGTGTCTTTCCAACCACACATGCATGCATTGCTGTAGCCTGCAAAGGCTCAGTTAAGCTTCTGTACTGTAGCCTTCACAGGCTCCTGCTACTACTCCTGCAGCCTCCACAGGCTCTTTGCTCTTCTCACCCCACATGCATGCATTGCTGTAGCCTGCAAAGGCTCATTTAAACTCCTATACTGTAGCCTTCACAGGCTCCTGCTACTACTCCTGCAGCCTTCACAGGCTCTTGCACGATGCACACACAGCCTTCACAGGCTCCTTGAAACTTCTATAAACACAGCAAGAGCCTTCAAAGGCTGAACTCCGAAGCCTGCACGGGCTGGAAGCTGCCTCTGCACACTCCTTTTCGCACGGCCCGCCAGATTTCATGCAGCCAAGGTCTTCTCAGCCGGAATCGCTCTGCTTGTCGTCCTCATCGGCTTTCCTTTTGCCCGCAAACCTGCCAGATCGGACGTAAGGTCGCTTTGGCTTCTCGTACACCGAGTCCACATCGACCATGAGGAAATCGAAGACATGCTCAAGGTCGGACTCTTCGAGCTTGACCAAGATGTCTGTTTCTCGCCAATTCCTGGGCTTCAAGACCTCCACCTGCTTGCCACCGAGATCTATCTTCATAACATCTGGTGCTCTCTCCAAAGCTTCGCGAAGCTTTCGGGCGGTGACTTCATTGGCCGAATCCTCCTCTTCATGGACAACAGGAGCATCGAACAAATTGTCCCTCTCACTGCCATCCGGATTCTGCTCCTTGCTTCCCATCTCCAGGATCTTGGCCTTCACCGTTTCCCGGATCTGCGACACTTGTGGGCTGCAGCTCAAGCTTGGGTTTTTCAGGGATTTGAACTTCTCCATGTGCCCCAGCACGGCTCTCGTCAGACTCGTGCTGCTCGGCCTGAACCGAAGATATTGCTGGCCATTGTCCGCCACATGCACCAGGCCCTCGGAAACAGGGACCTTGGGGCCGCCCTTGTACTGCAGAATGACTTGCCGAGTGACCTGCATGCTGCCGAGCCAAACCTTGCAGGCAGAAGAAGCTGCAGAGGCACGAATACAGAAGCCTGTCAGGGCTGAGGCAGGAAGTGTGAGAAGGATGACTTTGGAAGCTTGCACATGAGCTGCTGCAGCGGGTTTGACTTTGGAAGCCTCTGTATACATGACCCGAAGCGAAAAAATTTCTCTCGTCTGCTGGGAATGGTCTGTAAATCTTCGTGGGCGCCAAAAGCGAAGCGAATCTCCTGCACATCCACTGTGCTGGAGATCTGCCGACGGAAAACACGTGTAAAGTAAATCATCTAATGGCGCTTTCTCTTGCCACTGCCAGAAGCCTCCGTCTTCGGCTCCAGGAGCAGCTGGTCGCCCATCTTCAATGCAACCTTGTTCTGGTAAACAGGCACCACCATGTCGCCGATCTTCTTCGTGGTTCTGGTGAGGGTAGCCGTTTGGCTCTCCGTTGCTTCCTTGATCATCCAGTACGGGCAAAAGTAACCGGATGATTTCTGGATGTCCCAGCGAACGGGCGAAACAACGTAGCAGTCATGCTTCATTCCTTTTTTCTGGATGACAACATCCTGGGGGCGAGGCTTCTGCACCTTTTGCAGCTGCCCCAAAGGATAGAGTTGCAGGTCAAACTTGGCATAGGAGCAGTTGCAGAACAGCAAGCCGTTGTTGCTTGGCCGGACGTCTGGATCGCCCAACCTTTCTCATGAGTGAAAGACAAACTACAAAAACAAGGTTACCAGAACCAGGTTCGAAAACATAGGCTTGAAAGAAAAAAGTTCGAAAAAAACGTGTTATGCCAGAAACTTAAGGCGAAACCTTTCCAGTATCTGTCTGCTGTCAGGAAACTCCAAGTATTTCTTGTAGAGAAGCCCTTGGTCTTCTGCTCGTGCCAGCTCGTCCTGGAAGATCTCGGAATCACCGGGCCAGAGCTTCTGAAGAGCTTCCTCCTCGACCAAAGCAGGCACAGCTTTAGTCCATTCCTTGAGTTGCTTGAGGTCCTGCAAAGCCACCTTCTCGACCTGCACCTGCTCGCCAAAGAAAGGCCGATGCTCCAAGGTAGCACCATCCTGCTGCAAGTCCTTCAAAACAAAGACTTTGTCTTTGTCAGCCTCCACGGGCTCCGTCCTTTTGATCAAGTAAGCCTGGCCAACCTTCACATGCTTGTTCTGCTGCTTTGCGATCAAAGTCTGATCATTCGAGGCCTCTAGGTCTCGGACCTGCTCCCCTGAAGAAGCTGCAGCCTGGGAAGCCTGCCCGGGCTGAACCTGCAAGGTCTCCTGGCTGAACATGCTCGACAACGTGGCCAGGGAGTCGTACTCCTTGGCCTCCCTGCCCTTCGTCTGCTTGCCGAGCATGTAGAGGATGATGCGTATTTGATAGCGGCAGAAAGCCATCTGAAGATGTGCCTTGTCGGAAGCTTCGGCTTCGACCACTGCCCATGCTTGTTGCATCAGCGCTTCTGCTTTCACCAAATCCGCTTCGCTTTTCTTGGACTTCAAACGATCGAAGTCCGCCTTCGTCAGAAGGCGGCTGAACCCGTCGATGACTGCATTGGCCGGTGCAGTGATCTGGGTCAAGGCCAAAGCAATGCGAGTCATCGGACATCTCGTGGTAGCGATTTTGAAGTCGGTGTATGCGAGGCATTTCGTGAAGTCGGCGCCCAGCATCGTGCTCCCGGCATAAGACCGGGCCATGGCATCCATATATTTCAGAACTTTGAAGGATTCACCCCCTGCGAACTGCTGAACGAAATCCGCAATGGCCGAAATATACGGTTTGCACGGAGGGTTCGAGCTGCCTGCTGCTGCTACCGCTTTCCCGAGGTCCTTGGCTCCGTCCGGTTGGGCAGCATACAGCTGCGAGATGCACATCGCGACCTCCAGTTCGCTAGGCGGTTTGCCGATCGCGAGGTCCGAGTTCAAGCCCTGCTGCAGTAGCCCCGGCAAGGCTGGCACCCTTTCCTCGACCTCCGCCGCCAGGACTCGCCAGCTCCACCCTTCTTTGAGAAGCTTCGCAAAGTCGTCCCCACTCTGCATGCACTCGTCCAGTGACAAACCACATTTGGGACCGCATCCGCTGGCCATCGCTTTGACGAAGGCAGTGGTGTGCGAACAGCTAAGAGTTGCCCACCTCTCCTTACCAGTTGGCTTCGCCAAGCGGCCTTCGGACATTTCGGCAAGGCGGGTGTTGATCTCGAGAAAGTGCTTGCGAAGTCCTTCGTCCCTCGGAAGTTCGATGGCTACAGCTTCTCGCAACTTCATGCGATCCCAGCCAACGGAAGAGATTTGAACGCCCTTGGACACAACATCGTGTGGATTTACGAGGGCACCTCCACGATTTTTCGGATGAACGATCAAGTCCATGGGGGTCGCAAAAGAGTCGTAGAGCAGGTGTCGCTCACGAAGCAGCAGCATGATCTTCTGGCATTTTTGATTTATGCTCACATCAGGCTGGTCGATCAGCTCCTGCACAGTGCTCGCCCAGTCCGGAACGGTCATGATCCAAAAAATGCGAAGCTCTTATATGTCAAAGTTTCCCCAACATGCATCATGCACTGCCTTCCACCATACAAGTGCCTATGTTGCCTACATGTTTTGCATATGGAGCTTCTCGCCAGAGCCAAATGCTCGGCCTGGATCGACAAAATTCAACCTTCAGGCAAGAAACAAGAAACGTGCCACTGCAGCCTCCACGGCTTCCGACCTTCCCTTTTCTTTCACAGCCTGCACAGGCTTCCACACAACGGAATCAGCCAGCACAGCTCAGCATGCAATGTGCTTCCCAAGGACTTCTGCAACAAGCTTGCAAAAGCTTTCTGCTCGCTGTGAGAACACCTGGACTAAACAAGGAAACTGTTTACAGCAACACATATATTTCTGTGCTTTGGTTACATTCCTCAATGATTTTCTTCGCTTCAAAAATCAAGATGCACCTGCAGTGTTTACCGAAAACAGTCAACTGATCCCATGCTGCCAGCATGTGCAAACTTCGATTCTTTGTTTTCACAAGTATAAAACCAAGGTTTTACAACTAGTTAATTAAAAAATTAGAGTAGTTAGCTAACGATGTTAATCAACCTAACTTATTAGGTAACCCCCAGAGCGCCAAAGTAAGCTTGTAGTAGTCTTACGTTCCCAGGAGCCGCTGCCACAGCCATGTGCACCTGGCCAGCGTCTTGAGCGGCCCTTTGTGCCTCCTGCAGGAACTATCGCCACGCCTGCAGTCGAGAGTGTGCCAGCCAAGAGTCAACTCCTTCGAAGTACTCCCATAGCGGTTAAAGTAGGGGATTGGGTAGCTAGAACAGGGGGTGAGGCTGCAAAGCCAAGGTTCGAGCAGGCAGGGGGCGTCCCACGCACCGAGGAAGAGTTTGTCGATGCTGCAGTGAAAGCTGGTCACCCCAGAAACTTTCAGGACGTGCTGCCAGAAGTGCTCCAGAAGGCCGTCCACATGCAGGAGACCTTGGACGACCAAGCCCTCGCAAAAATGAGGACGTGTTGGATCGCCAAGTGGGCCAAGCGGGCAGAACAGCTCACACACCAAGAAGCAGAGCTAAAGAGGTCGTTACATCCCGCCTGTAGAGCCATTCTCGAACCTAAGAGGTTGGTGTTGTTCAAAGAGATGCTTGCAGAGTGTAATTATCCTGACCCTGGTGCTTTCGATGAGCTAGTGCATGGTACGCATCTAGCAGGAGAAGTGCCTGTCACCGGAATCTTCGAGCCCACTTTCAAGCCAGCCAAAATGGCTGTAAGCCATGTGAAAAAGGAAGCTAGCAAAATCAGGCTAGAGGCAATTAAGAAGATAGGGCCGTTAGGCGAACTCGATGGGGATGTCCTAAAGAAAACGTGGGAGGAGCACGAAAAAGGCTGGCTGGAAGGCCCGATACCATACAGTGAATTGGAGAGTTCTGCGCTCGTAAGCCGTAGGTTTGGGGTTGTCCAAGGATCTAAACTAAGGGTCACGGACGACTTCTCAATGGGGGGAGTAAATGCGACAGTGCAAGTATCTGAGTCTCCGCGGCCGCATGCCACGGACAAAGTTGCGGCGCTCTGCTTGAGTTTGCTTGCTAGAGGAGCTAAAACGACTTTACTCGGAAGGACCTTCGACTTAAAGACTGCGTACCGCCAACTCGCCATTGCGCCCGAGTCATCTTGGGCCAGTTACGTAGCGTGCTGGGATGCTGCGGCTGCAGCACCAAAGATCTTCAGAATGCGTGCTTTACCCTTCGGAGCAAGTCGTGCTGTGTACTCCTTCTTGAGAATCGTAATGGCGGTGTGGTTTATAGCTGCTGATCAGCTTGCAATACCTTGGACCACCTTCTTTGATGATTTCATTACTTTTTCGAGGAAGGCCGGAAGCAAGCACTTGCAGCGCACAATCGAAGCTTTCTTCAAGCTGCTGGGCTGGTCTTTCGCAGAAGACGGAGACAAAGCTTGCCCCTTCGCCTTAGACTTTCAAGCCCTGGGCATTAAGATAAGCTTGAGTCGATTCACGGACGGCACAGTGTTTTTCTGCAACACGGAGAGACGAGTGTTGGAGCTGAAGCAAACGCTACAACAAGTCCTTGATTCTGGTTTCCTCCCTCAGGCCCTCGCGCTGAAGTTGCGTGGTAGGATGCAGTTTGCTGATGGCCAGCTGTTCGGAAGGACAGGAAGAGCCTGCATGCAGGCAGTAACCTCTCACGCGTGGGGTGATAATGGGCCGGAACTAAGTCAGCCTGCGCGCCTAGCGATCAAGAAGTTCATGTCCAGGTTGTGTGCTGATGCTCCACGCGTCATTTCAGTCATGAGCCAAGCTCCTTGGTTCGTCTTCACGGATGCATGTTATGAAGCGGGGCATGCCAGCTGGCCTTGTGGTTTAGGGGGTGTCCTTTTTGATCAACTAGGAAGTGCTGTCGACTTCTTCTCTGTCGGGTTGGGGGCAGAAGAAAGGAGGTTGCTAGGCGAAGGCCGCTCCTCCCAGATCATCTTCGAGGCTGAGCTGATGGCGCTCGTAGTAGCTCTTCGCAAGTGGGGGCCCTTGTTGTGCACGCGACTCGTCATGTGCTACGTCGACAACAATGCCACACGCGACGTAGCAATATCGGCTACAGCGAGAACAGCGGTCCCGTCTGCACTTGTGGAAATGTTAGTCACCAACGAGGAATGCATGGGATTTTACCCATGGTATGCCAGGGTACCCTCTCCGTCGAATGTAGCTGATAGGCCTTCGCGGGAACTACTCAATAGCTTCGTGTGGAAAGGTGTCAGCCTGCCGAATTCCAGCGTGGAAACCGAGCTTCGGGAATGCTTTGACCAGTTAAGACAGTTGACGGTAAAATAGGGGGATGAGTATCCTGGGTCCAGGGCCCGCATTGGTCGGCTTCAACCCCCTGACCCAGGACAGGTTGACGAGACTTTCCCCAGAGTCACCGTCGCGACAAAACAAGAGTCCGTGCATGTGCGGTAGGACAGGGCAGTATTGCGCGGTAGATGTCATGTGGCTTGCAGCCTTGTAGCGTCTTGCTTGTAGTTGTGATCCAGTATGTCAGGCCACGAGGCTCAAGTGAAGAGTGCCGTCACGAGTCCTCGTGATAGCTCGTTCACTGAGCCGACGAGAGTTCGTCAGAACGTGCCTGACTTACATACCCCCGCGCAGAGGCTCAGGAGAAGCTAGTGAGCAGCTAAGCATGATATGTCAACATGCAAGACTAGGAAGGCGCAGCTTCACGCATAAGACATCAAGATCACTCGATCTTGCTTTTTGTCCCACCCGACCCGCCCAAAGTGGTGAGGGAGGGGGGGATGAGTATCCTGGGTCCAGGGCCCGCATTGGTCGGCTTCAACCCCCTGACCCAGGACAGGTTGACGAGACTTTCCCCAGAGTCACCGTCGCGACAAAACAAGAGTCCGTGCATGTGCGGTAGGACAGGGCAGTATTGCGCGGTAGATGTCATGTGGCTTGCAGCCTTGTAGCGTCTTGCTTGTAGTTGTGATCCAGTATGTCAGGCCACGAGGCTCAAGTGAAGAACCTGTCAGCTCCGGGCTGTTCAAAACTGAAAGCCTTACCTAGACCCTCCAACTACCCTCTATTAGACCCTAAATGCCCCTTACCCCTAACTGAGGGTACAAGGCGGGTCCTGGCTAGAAGCCCTGAATCCCGAAGCTTGAGCCCCGAATGAAAAGTTATATGATCCCCAGATTCCCTATAAAGCCGAGAACCTGACCAAAGAGCTCCGAGCCTCCGATAGCAAACCAAGGTCTTCTTTAGGGCACCTGGACCCCGAACGTGCCATTGCAGGGCTCCGTATGACGATCTCATTTTGTAAAGTCCGTAGAAGGGTAGCTTATTTGGGGTCAAGGTTTAGGGTTTAGGACGTCTAAGTCCTTGAAGCCGATAGGTTTCTTGCTGGGGGATGATAGGGTTTAGAGCTTCTAGATTCTAGAGCTTCAGGGCTGGTAGGAAATCTCATGAGCCGTAGTTAAGCCCAAACAGCCGAAGTCTCCAATAAAGCCCCGAGCCTTAATCCCGAAAACCTAAATGCTACAAATTGCTTATAAACCCTACACCTCCAAACTCTCTAAGCCCTACACCCTAAACCTTACATATTTTTGGCCCTACACCTGAAACCCTAAAAGCCCGCCACCTAAGCCCAGAAGCTGGACGCCTGGAGGCGATCGCCTCAAACAGAAGGCTCCCCGCGCGCGCTCGCGTGGAAGTCTCGGTGCTTGGCAGGGTGGCCCAGTTGTTCTGCGGCTTACGCAGGTTTTGGGTGACGGTTTAGGGTTTTAAGGTTTAGGGTTTAGGATTTGGGTCTGGGTTGGTGCTGTGCATCCAAGCATCTCAGGGACAAAGCCAGAGCAGTGTCACATTGCCTTTGCCAGAAGCCGCCGCGCCAACACTGTAGCGTCTGCCTCACTCAAAGGGCTCCAGAGGTGGGATGAAGGTGGGTGGGATTATTCCGTCCTACACGAATCCTTACCTAGGGATCCTTAAACTTTACTCCTGCCTTCATCCCGCCTCCCTTCCTCATGCCTCGAAGCTCGCAGGAGGCAGTGGGAAGAGGCCACCGTGGAGATCAAGGGCATCGGGGGCGAGGCTCGTCTTCCCTCTTTGCTGGATGCAGGAGTCGCAAACACGGGGCCTGGATTCTGCGGTCAGAATGATGTCTGAATTGTCGCGGATGTTGTGTGGTGAGAGTTCAGAGTTCTCCACATCATTCACACCGCTGAAACCGAAGAAACCCTCAGCCCCAAATTGTGCTTTGACCCTTATACCCTAGGGCTCCATAGTAGTTCGTTTTTGGGATTACCTTATAGGATTCTATATATGAACCCCAAAAAGGAACCACTATGGAGCCTATGGGTAATGCCCCGATTCTGAAGTTGGCAGGTCTACGCCATCCGCCCAACAGGGGAGCGGGTTCCCTCCAAGGTCTGCAGTTGTGGGTTTGAAGATTTGGGCCTGGGTTTTGTTGCTTGGGCTTCACTTGGGGGTTCGCACTTCAGGTTGGAATATTTGTGGAGTTTTTTGTGTATGTATACATATATATACATATATATATATATATATGTGTGTGTGTGTCTTTGGCCAGCTGGAAGACTCTGCTCACTCTTCCTGCCACAAGGCCTTCTGCCGCCAGAAGTTCTCGGATGTTTGGTTTCTAGCATTTGTTTAAGCCCTGGGTGTTACAGTGTTCGTGTTAGTTAGTTGCTTAGTTAGTTAGTCAGTGTGTTAGTTCGCAAGTTGGATAATTGGCTGGTTCTGTGTGTTAGGCGAGAAGCTGTTTTCAATCAAGCCGCATGCCATAGGGTCCTGAACCAGCAGTAAATGAAAAGTAATCCCTTATAGTCCCCAATAGAACTGAAGCATAATGGCACTGCGTTTGTAACCTCAATCATAAATGCCTCTATACTGGACTCCTACAGAAACCCTTGTCACAGCAGCCCTTAAGCCCTGAAAGGAGCCCCAGTCTATAATACCATAAGGCCCCCTAAATTCGCAACCACGCACTTCCAGCTCCCAGATCGACTTTCTTGGCGGCGAGTCTCTACCGTCCTGGGCCGAGACACAGAAAGCCCGGGCCCCGGGCGAAGAGAGGGTATGAAGATGAATCCGGAAGTCTCGAATCCAGCACATAGGGATGGCACACCCAACTGGGTTCTTGTTGACGAGTTTAACTTAAGCTACGACAATAAACAATGCTGTGCACTGTGATGTTTGCGACAGCAAGCCCTTTTTTTTGTGCGCAGTGTGCCGGTACCGACTGGGTCTTTGGGATTGATAGCGGTATTTGGAGAGCCAGTGGGACCCACAACGCCGAAAGCCCAGTGGCAAGGTGCCCGCCGGGACTGAGGAGGATGCTGCTGGGGAGGAGACAGAGGACCTAGTTCCGACTTCGTGGAGAGTTTCGGGGTTTTTCAATTAAACATTTGAGAGGTTTAGGGCCAAGTTTAGAGTTCTGAGTTTAGAGTTTGGTACTGAATGGGTTTAGGGGTGCTGACTAGACTAGACAGCTGAAAATGAGTTCGAGTCTACCTTAGGATGCGCGTGGAGTCTGGAGGATCAGGTGACTTCGCAAGCAGACTATACTTGCAAGCAGATCAATCGAGTTTTTGTTTAAGTAAAGCTCATCCTTGGCCCAGTACTGCTTTTGAACTCTAACCACCTTCTGATTATAATCTCGCAACCCTAAGCCTGAAACGGCATACAAAACCGACTACCCCATACTCTACTCGATACGCTACCCCATGCTCTGCACCTGCTGCCTTAAACCCTCTACCCCCCACTATACCCCAAGCCTCAAATTCTAGACTCAGTGGTCTTGGACAACACACCTAGCTTTGGATTTTTGGTGCAGTCGGAAAAGCCGACAACAGCCAAAAACTGAAGACACCTTAGTCTTCGTTAAGGGGTAGTTATACGTGGGGTTCTATGTCCCCTAATATGGGTTATAAGTATAGTTACCCTACTTATAAGCCTACTTATATCTACTCATGAACCCTAAACCCTAATCCCAAAAACCCAAAACCCTATAGATCCCAGTAAAGGAACCCTACTTATAATTATAACTACCCATGAACCTCCAAGTAGACCCTAAACCCTATACCCTTATAGAATCCCTATAGATCCCTTTAAGGGGACCCTAGAATCCCTATAGATCCCTTTAAAGGAACCTCCGAGTTAAGGCCTTGAAGCCGGCACGCCCAGAGGAGATCCCGGAGGAGTTGCCCGAGGAAGACCCTGCACACTCGCAGGTGCATCGCTGGATGTTCACAAGGGTTTTTTTGTATGTAAGTTATAAGGGTTTAGGGTTTAGGGTTTAGGGTTTATCACATGCACCTGCCTAGAGCCATAGTAGAACGTAGGGTTTTCTGTACCAGGAATGGGTTTCTTGTTGTGTGTTGTAAGGGTATTTTGGGGGACAGCGTTTGGAAATGCTTGTGGAAGGTTTAGAGGCTCTGGATGGCATGCGCTGAGTCCTCGCGATGCCGTCATATCTTTGTTCTATCGGTTGATGATATAATCCTGCATTACCCATAATAAGGAATATAATTATGGGAACTATGGTATATTCCTTATTATGGGTCATGCAGGATTTATATCATCAACAGTATGCTGTTCTTTCTTTCCGTGGCTTAGAGCCCCAAAGCCCAGGGTCCGAAACCGGAACGCTGGAACGCAGTGTCTCTTGCCAGACCACATCTATGGGAGTTTCTGAAAATAGGGGACCCCAATATGGTACCCTAAAAAATAGGATCCTTATTATAAGGACCACATCAGACCACGAACCCAACTACGAATCCAAGTATCCCCTCCTGCCATCTAGGCCTGGTGTTTGGGAAGTTTTGGGTTCAATGCCAGCGTTTACTGTACAAGCTTGAATAGTCAATTTCCCGTGGCATTGGTTGGGGTTCATAACTACAGTACAATACATCCCGAAAGCCTAGTACTCATGAAGACCCGCGTATTCTGTGCTCTGCGACAGAGCAGGCTGACACACAACCAAAATTGGAGCTGGAACAGACGCAGAAGGCACGATTTTCGTAGCTGCGAGTTTAGGTGCAAAGAGGCTTCAAACTTGTCACAAAAAAACTGCTGCTTTGTGGTGTAGGATTGCGGGGGCAGCGGAAGGCCCTCTACATCGCTAAACTGCCCTAACCTTGAAAGCGGAATGGTACTTCAAATTTTTAAACCAAAGCCCTTGAACCGTAAGCCCATAAGCGCAGACCGCATGTTCAATCCCCAACTGCTTGGTGATAGAATGTACTGTGGTCTTATCTCAATATCCTGTTACCTTATGACTATGGGTTGTCAATATGGCCCGATGTACTGCTGTACAT